AGCAACTGTTATTTCGTTTAAACGTACATTCCACTATGAGTGGTCGATAATTTTCTGAGCTGCAAAATATAAACTTTTGTTATTTAGGTATTTAGATTCAATGTACTGCACTTCTTTATTAATATGTTTTGTTATTAGTAAAGTTAATTTAACAATATTTAGAGCCCAGGTAATGCTCAAATTAAATTGGCATTTAATTTTCCAACAACATTAAATGCTGTTACTAAACTTGTGTGAAAGTCAAACCAAGCGTAACTTAATGGGGCGTGGGTATATTTGTTCAACCCATGTTAGTTTGTATTTTTGGAGGAGTTTGTTATGATCATAGGAAGTAACCTGATAGAAGGCCATCTTCTTTATTATACCTGGAAAGTAGGAACAATAAGGTGGAAACCTGTCTGATTGCCACCCCCACCCCTCTCTCTGATTTCCGTTGTCCCACGTTACTCACATGTCACGGTAAACCTGGAAACCTGGTATTTCCTCCATTATTTATTCTCCCTCGGTTTACCTCCATCGCATTCAAGAGCAGTTCTGAAAAACTATGAGTTGATGATAAATTTTGAGCGGTTTCTAAGCAAATATTATTGCATCATGAGACACCTTTTTTTGATTTTCGGAAGCTCTGATCAGCGGTAGATGAATTTAGTTAAAGCTATTGCTCTGGGAGGTTGTATTTGTAAGACCTGTTGTTAGAGAGGAATTTGAACAATCACTAGACTTATGATTCTATTAGTCAAAGACATCCTCTGGTGATTGTGATGGGAGAATGCAGTTCCCTCTCTCTGAGAAGATGTGAATGTTATCTCTATTTGATTTATTATGTCGATATATAAGGTGTTTCTGTTTGATAGAACAATGATTTGCAGTGTGTCTCTAGTGCATATGGTATTCCCCATTTTTATGATTTGAGTTAGAGGATCCATGGATGTAAGTGACCCACCCTGTTTTCACTTGGCAGAGGACATTTATGCTAATGTATCCATTGATGATTATGAGAGAGATGAGCATTTGGACTTGGAGGATAATGACCCTGAGTACGAACCCGAAGAATATGGAAGTGTAGATTATGATGATAAGGAAATTGAGCAAGATCCTCAAGAAGACGGAGGTGAAGCAGAGGAAGATCCTGAAGAGGTGGATGTTGGTGATGACGAGGGTGATTTGGTTGAGGAGGAAGTGGAAGGTGTCCCTGAAGAACTTGAACCGGAGGAAGAAGATGAGCATGCGGGTGAGTATCATGCTGAGACGTATGATGCTGCTGAGCATGAAGAACATCATGAAGTTGTCAAGGAGAGACGAAAAAGGAAGGAGTTTGAAATTTTTGTTGGGGGATTGGACAAGGATGCTACTGAGAGTGATCTTAGGAAAGTTTTCAGTGAAGTTGGTGAAGTTACTGAAGTTAGACTTATGATGAATACTCAGACAAAGAAGAACAAGGGTTTTGCTTTCTTGCGTTTTGCAACCGTGGAGCAAGCGAAACGAGCTTGTGCTCAGCTGAGGAATCCAGTGGTATTTACATAACTTCGTTCCTGTTCCAACTAGTTTGTTTTACCTGTAAGTTACATGCATATACTTGACGAACCCAAATTTCAGATTAATGGCAAGCAGTGTGGTGTTTCCCAAAGCCAGGACAGTGATACTCTATTTGTGGGTAACATATGCAAGACATGGACAAAAGAAGCTGTAAGTAGATTGGTTATCATATATCATCAATAAGAGTTGAATTTAGACTGCTGGTTAATTTGTACCCACTGCTATGCAATCTGTGTAGTTGAAAGAAAAGCTAAAGCATTATGGTGTTGAGGGTCTTGAGGATTTGACATTGGTTGAAGACAGTAACAACGCGGGGTCAAATAGAGGCTTTGCCTTTCTGGAGTTCTCATCCCGGTCTGATGCCATGGACGCTTTTAAGCGTCTACAGAGAAGGGATGTAATGTTTGGAATAGATAGGCCTGCAAAAGTTTCTTTTGCTGACTCTTTCATTGACCCTGGTGATGAAATAATGGCTCAGGTACAATTTGGCAGCAGTATTTCTGCTCGTTTTAGATATTGTTCTTTGGAGCATGCATATTGTTGACACTGTTTGTTAGTTGACTTTGGTGTTATATGTACCATTAAATTCCAAATAATAGAAACATATGTTGGTTACTTGTAAGTATTCAAATTTGATGGTCATTGTTCTATTGATAACTTATATTTACCTTAAGTACCATATGGATGCACGACACACGCTTAAGTTTTCTCTTATGTTTTATTAACCTGATAAACTCGACTTCAGGTTAAGACTGTTTTTATCGATGGTATATCTGCCTCATGGGATGAGGAACATGTGAAGGATCTTCTCAAGAAGTATGGGGAGATTGAGAAAATTGAGCTTGCCCGTAATATGCCATCGGCCAGGAGAAAGGATTTTGGATTTGTTACATTTGGCACCCATGATGCAGCTGTTATTTGTGCAAAAAGTATCAACAACGAGGAGCTGGGTGGAGGAGATAACAAGGTTCCTTGTCAAATTGTAATCTCCGATATTTTCATATTAATTTCCGACCATACTAATAGCGGTTATGTTTCAGGCTAAAGTTCGGGCCAGATTGTCAAGACCCCTTCAGAGAGGCAAGGGGAAAAATGTTGCTCGAGGTGACTCGCGGCCTGGGCGTGGGTTGGTAAGAGGTACTAGGAGCCCTTGGAGTGGTTCCACTCACCGTAGTGTTTCACTCCGCGGGTCTAGAGGAAATGGATCGCGTATTCCTCCTGTAGCTGATCGTAGGCACAGACGACCTGCTGACATTCGAGATAGAAGGCCAGTGCCAGCTCCTCCTTCGAGAAGCAGGCCTGCTGCTCCCTTACCGAGGTCCTATGACAGGAGGCTGCCACCTGGTATGCTTCAAACTTTCAAACTGGTAATTATTTTCTACTTAAACCGCATTTATGCTCTAATATACTGTATTCAGTTCCATCATACTCCAAGAGCGGTTTGAAGAGGGACTATGGCCACCGAGAGGACCTTCATCCTAGGAGCAGAGCCGCTGTAGACTACAGCTCTCGGGAAGTTTCGGCTAGACGACTGCAATATAGAGATGATTATCCTCTTCGTCCATCTGCTTACCCTGATTATCCTAGAGGTGATGCATCAAGATCTGCAGCCAGACGACCTTATGTTGATGATGGCTACAGTCAGAGGTATGAAAGGGCACCAAGTTACAGGGAGGCACGTGGCCGTGAATACGATTCTATGGCTGGTTCTAAACGTCCGTATGCTGCCTTGGTAATTTCCTAAGATAACTTTCTATATTGTGACTCCTTCGTATAATATTTTTATTGTGCCCCAAATATGCAATTTTTGGTTAATGTTTGAAAATTCATGTAAGGATGATGCTCCCCCACGCTATTTGGAGGCTGGGATGCGTCACTCTCGTCCACGTCTAGATTATGATCCTGGAAGTGGAGTTTCTCACTATGGGGATCCTTACAGTGATAGGTCAGTCATGGACGTATATCCTTGTAATATGTTGAAGTGGCTTTATCTTTTTAGTAAAAACTTCTGCATTTTGATTTGTTGTCATTTGTGAATGATAGATTTGAGAGGTCAAACATTGGGTATGGCGGAACTCGAGGTTCTTTGCCCAGTCAAGAGTCCCATGGGTTTTACAGTGGTCGTCAAGAAATGGGTTACGATGGAGGTATGATGCTTCAGGTTTTAGTCCATACTTAACAGAGAGCTGTCAATTTGGTAATGACATTTATGGTTGCAATCTCTTCTCCGTTTTCAGGCCCTTATGGTGGTAGTGACTTTGGTGGGATGTACTCATCAAGCTCTGGTGGTGGTTATATGTCTCGTGGGAGTAACGTATGCTTCGAGTTCTGTTTCTTTCTATGATTATCTTGGCATATCTTTTTCCACTGCCTTTTATTTTGTATATATTTATTGCAGGTTGACACTAGCTCCTATCCTTCACTTTACTCTGGGCGAGGTTTAGGTGGAAGTAGTTATATGGGAAGCAGTGGTTCCAGGTCATACTACTAAGGTACACAACACCAGCCTGCAAACACGCGCACAACATATATTTTTGTGTAAAACTTATGGTGTTATCATGTTGCATTAGTCCTTACTTTAGGCTGCTGAAGGAGAGTAATATGTTGTACTTATGGCTTTTGGTTTACATGACCACCGTCTTAACCAGTAGTTGGACCAAATGGGGTGCTTGATGAAATCAGAGCCACACGATCATTCTCGTTTACGGACTTGTTTATGCAGAAATGGAGTTGAGGGGAGAGGCTTCTCTACGATGTGGAAGGCTTCAAATATGGAATTTAATGCTCACATTTCCATATGTGATGTTATTTGGACATAAGGAACCTTCATGGTTTGAGAGACGGATACTTTGAGTATTATATTACTGTGCTTTGATCCACCACAAACTATTTATAGATGTAACATGGATTGGATTCTGTTATGTTTCGTATCTGCTTGTAAGGGTTGTTGAGTTTCAGAACTTAGAGGAGACCATCTGCAGGATGTGATGTTTTATAAATAAATGTGTTTGGGATGCTACCCACCCATTGTCGCTGGTAAAAGTTATGAAAGTATGCTTTTAACGTACTGAGGAGAAAACAAAAATACGGAAAAGCCTCAAAAGTAATGTGGCATGTAGATTTCGGGTCCATATGTTTGCTCTTGGGTGCAGTTATTGGACGAGCAAGATATAACCTCCTTATACCAAGCATAAAATTGTTTTGTTCTATTCATTTGTCTAACTCATGGAGGTCCATCAAAGACAAATCAAAATGGCAATGGATGCATTGAGTTTTATGGTTTCTGTTTCGTGGTTACGTGTTAATGGATTTACATGCTTTTACAAATGCTCAGAAATGATAGAGTTATACTGGATTAGCATTCTTTTACATTTATGGAAATGAGATGGCAGGTTGGAACTGGAACATTCTACATTATCGAATCGAAACATTTTAATAGGCATTATATCTCTAACTATATGTTGAGTAGGATGTCATTTTGGATATTTGACCTTCCTATGAAGTGAGAGACTTTTTGTGAAGTCCAAGACAGAAATTTCTACGAGCTATATTTCTGATTGGTCTCTTTAACCGACATTCTTCAACCCAATGTTGATGGGTGCAATCATCTGAGTTTAGGTGGTTGATGATACTCACATCTTCAGTAGATGTTTTATATTGTGGTTTAAGTAACCGAATCTGATACAACTGGCATATATTACTCCGTTGCTTTTCTCTGCTGCCTGAAGTCTTGTTAGTTCTTGCCACTTATCTTCAATGGTTTTCTTCAACTTGGTTATAGGACTAACATGCCAACATTTTTTGTTTATGGCAATTTTTTATTACTAAAATTAGGTAAAGTTATGTAGTCTTTCTGTCAGACCCAGTAAGGGAAAAGTCTGACTGGGCGAACTTCTAAAAGGCAGAAGTTATTTACTGGGAAAGAGTAGAAGTAGACCAAATGCATCTAGAAGTAATGATCTCAAGGTTCAGCGCTCTTAGGCAAATTCTTCTTCCTAGCTCAAGTCATTAGGGGTAATGGATACGAGTCTAGTCCATTTGTTTATTTTAAAGGAACATGCATATATTTTACTTCATTCAGGGTTTTAAAGTTGAGGTGGTGTTTGCACTTGAGTGTTTCTTCTCTTTACTCTCTTTTATTATAAGAAATCCCATTGAGAAAAAAGAAAAAAACCCTATAGTTTTTGGAAATGAAGAAAGCCTTTTAGTTTGGTCTTAACTTTGCAGGGCTGACTTGCATTCCTCTAATGTTGTCTTGAAATGTGTATGCATTGCAGAAATTTCTGTAATAACCAGGTTTCAAGGGATTCCTTTTGTCAAACATATGGGTTTCTTTGGGCAGTATGTGTGACGTGATTGAAGTAGATAAACAATGGAGAATATAATAGTATTTACTCCAAATAAATTGATTTTACATGATGCCACGTCTTCCAGGTTCTTTTAGGAACTCTAGTGATGTTTATGAGAGCATCGATTTGTAGTGCTATTTCGTCTGTGTTGGTATGATTTTTGTCCCGAGTATACACAAAGGGGTGAGTCGGATGATTCGAGATTTTCTTCAGATGGGAGTTATGCAAATAGTAGTGTGAAATGTCTGTACAGATAATTTTGTTTTTCATTTATGTGGAATTGTCTTGGTACATGTAATTATATCGGAAGTGTGTTCTTGTCGATGTTGTTTGTACCAAATTATGCAATAATAATAATAATAGCTCTGTTTATTTTCCAAACATGGTATAATCAATAGTGGGGGCAGAATAATGTGTGAAGCTCCTCATCCGGTGGCTTCATAAGAGTAACTCAGTGATATTTGTAGTGTTTATTGGAAATCTAAAATGGGGTCGAATAGAGTTTAGAATGAGTGTTAAAACACTAAAAACAATAAAGAACCCATCATTACAAGATGTTAGTTATGAGCAGTTACAAAATTTTCTACTTGGAGAAAAGTTGCTACTTGAATGCATCTCATTTGCGCAGTCAGAGTTTTCCATTCACTCCATCTCCATCCAAATCTCCTCAATATTTTCACCATCCGTCTTCTTCCTCCTCTTTCCAACTTCATCCCCGTCCGCTTTCATTTCATGTCCCGTAATTTTTCATAGTGATTTTGTAAAACTGATGCAATAATTTCACAGCTCAGAGGTGACACTAATTGGTAGCCTTAAAATTAATTGGAATAAGTATGAAAAATTATTTTCATCTAGACAGGATTATTTGTGGTAATCATGCTTTATCCAAACGCACTCCAAATAAACATACAAGCAGCTAAGCTTCCCTTTGTCACCAGAATTTCATCTTCTTGGTGTATGTTGTCACCTATGGCTACTAGCTGGCTAAGCCTCGGCTACAACCAAGAGACAGACTCAGCCAACGACACGCGCAACGCCCTAATCACGGCTGTAACCTTCCAAGCTGGGGTCAACCCACCAGGCAGAAGGCGGGCCGGGCTATATACGCGGCCCAACAAGGGGCCTTTTACACTCTCAACGTCCGTACTTGTCCTTGTGTCCCTCACCTATAGGTTCCCCTTCCATATCGAGCTCTGGGCAGCCATTGTAGCCATGTTTGTGACTTATTTTCCTGATGAGTCGGTTAAGTTTAGGTATCTGTTGGCCACAGCTGCCGTGCCCATTGCAGTCAGGTTTCTTGATGCAGATTGGCAAAAAGTTTTGGATTAGGAGAAAATCAAGATTATGATCATGTCGTGCTGCTAAGTTATTGCGTTGCTGGTTTTGGGTTTATTTTGTGGAAATTAGTTGTGAAATTGTTTGGTGTGTGTAAAGGAGCTCATGTAGTTATGTATACACATGATATTTGTGGTTTTATAATAAAATGTTTTTGATAACATAACATAGTGAAGATAGCTTATGACAAACATAATACAGTCAAGGCAGCATATCAATTATCAGTAGAATTATTTGTAGTAGTTGCACTTGTCAAATAAAATAACATGATACATCTCTGCAATAAATCAACCCAATCCAAAATTTGGAACCTGCATCTCAACTGTTTTTATCTCTACACTTTACTTTATGATACTAGCAAAGTATAGTCCCATTGTCTACCAGACCCCACCCTTCCCCTATTCTAACTCACAAATTTGTTAGTTAGTCTGTTTAACAGATCAACATTGGTTAGACAGACTAACCCGTTATACTATTTGAATAAATTAAAACGTATACCTCGACTTCAAAGTATAATAGTGAAAGCATTTGTTTCCTTATTAAATCCATAATTAGGTGTAGTAGTTAAAGGCTAAGTTTTGTTTTTTTTTTTTGTTTTTTCAAAAACTATCCTTTACAATAATACCTATAACAAATCAATGTTGGATGAACAAGACTGTGAAGAGAACTCAGTTACTGTCTTGTCCCAATCTCACTTTTCAAGTTGGCACATGCACTTTGGTAATTTTAGTGCACTTGTGTGTATGATTCAATAAGAGCACATGCATTATGTTCCCTTCACAGAATCAAATACAACTGTCAACTTACACATTTCTTGTCTTCAAAATCCAAAAATCACCATACCACAAAGCCACCACTTTGTACTACTCACCCATTTCATGTCCCTTTCCTCTTTGGGCCAATACCATTTACTTTGTCTCCACCTATCAGCTTTTTATCTTTTCTCCTTTGCATAAAACATCAAGCACCAGCAGAACTTGTCTGGGCTTTCAAGTTTCAGTGCATTAATATTAGTAAAAAGTTTAGATTCTCTTTCAAAACTATGGTGATCAAGTAGGACTTTTGACAGATACATGTTTTATGCTTGGAGAATTTTTTTTTCGACTAAAAGTCCTCACGACGAATACGGAAACTGCTAACTAGCAGTGAACAACATACAACTTAACCCAGCTTAAAATTGAGCAAACAAGACAAGAGCCAACCAATCACTGAGTATAAATTGGGATATACAAACAAGAAATAATCACTGTACATTCCGTTGAATCAAGTTCAAAATACTTCCCAGAAAACATTCACTAATAAACATGAAAAAAAAAGAAGAAAAAAACAACAAGAGAGATCCAATGAGGCCACAAAGTACAGTGATGGCCCAAATTGCCAAACCAAAATTCCATATGCAAAGGGGAAAAAAAAAAGAAAAAAAAGAAAAGAAAGAAAGAAACTCTTCAATCTAACCTAACTACAGTAAATGGAATTTAAAAATGCAATATGTCAAACAGCAAGTTGCTGTTGTTGTTGATGGGATGATGATTCATCTTCATCAAAACACAAATGAATAATTTTATTCGTTGATGATGATTTACCATTGTTATATAATAAATAGGGATCCTCTGAAAGGTTGATCTGAGGCTGAGGCTGCATGATCACCATTTCTCTTTGGAGATGAGAACAGTATGAGTGAAAAGTTGATGGGGTCACGTTTAAATGAAATCCCAATGCAAATAAAAAATCCACTTCAAGAATGTTCATCTCTATTGTGCTGATTCCTCCTACTTTTGCATAATATGCATTGTTGTAATACCTGGAATCATAAGATAGATATTCAGTTATAAAACAAGACGAAATCGTGAGACGTACATGACACAAACAAACAAAAAAAAAAAATCTTAAAAAGGTGTTATTTTTAACAGTTAGTATAATTTTCCAATTTATTACTACTTTAAGAGGTTCAAATGCATTAGTCCAATAAAACGAAAACTTGTAAGGTTTAAGCTGTTGTTGGACTGTAGCTTTCAGTTATGGATGTTAGAATGAGACCCTTAATAATAAAAAAATAAAAAATGTTTTTATATTGAACAATGAAGAAAATAGCAGGGTGGGGTTTCACAGCTGGACCAAAGTTGTTTTGAAATAGATTAGGCATATAGGTTGTTGGCATAATCAAGAAAAAGCATTTAACATAACCAAAACCTCAATCACAAGTAAGCAAAACCAAACGCCCTAAAAACACAAGATCATGACTGATACAATTCCAAAAGCAACAAAATTTCACAACGCAATCCAAATTCAAGATTCATAATTTGAAGCATATATGTTAACTCCAAATTAACCAAAAGAAATTAATAAATCCCAAGACAACACCTCAAAAACAAGATCAAAGCAGAAGACAATTCTTGAAAAATAGTTAAATACTCACATGTCATCCATGAATTTAGCAGAGAGCATGACACTAGTGATAAGAAGCCTGTGAACATTGAAGGAGTTAATGGGGAGGTCCGGCTGGCGGTGCATGAAGCGGTCGAGATATACGTAAGCCACAATGTAGCACGACGGGCTGCAGTTAGCGTACTTGAAGATCCTCTGCAAATAGCTGTGGATTGAGATGGTGGGCCTCGTGAGGCCGTGAAAGACAGACGATATTTTCTGAGAGTGGGGCCCACTGCCGAGATCGTTCGACTCGGCCACTCGCCCGAGGAGTGAGGATAGGAAGCTGATGAGTTTGGGCAAGCTGCTGTCTTCCATTATTCTCCTTCTCTCTCTCTCTTTCTCTCTGTTGTGCCTTACAAGAAAGTTGTGACAGATGAATATATAATATCTTGGATTGTGATGTTGGAATGAATAGGTGGATAATACTTACATATATAAAGGGGTGCACTTTTTTTTTTTTTTTGTTTATTTAATTTATATGTTCCAATAACACGTAGGCTGGTTGTTGGTTTAGGAAGTTGGGTTTACTAAAATGGCTTTTCAAATTTAAAATAAAGGTAGGACAGCTTCTCTTCTTCAAACATAAACCTTGTTGCCAAAATGATTGATACAAAGAAATATTTATTTATATTTTTGAAATTACTGTTAATACCAGTTTGATCTGTGTTTTTGCAATTTGCACATACCAATTGAACAATTTGTAGTTAACCTTAAAAAAGTAGAACAAACCAAACCCTATACTCTTGCCTGCCCACTGTATGAATCTTTCATTCATCACACAGCAAAAAATGTTGATACTTTTGTTATATTAAATGTTCCTACACTTGTTCTGATTAGTTAATATGTGGTGGGGTGAATCTTGAATTTGAACTTAGCTTGTGAAGGAGGGAAAGACTAACTATCATGGGTGTTCAACACTTTTTAGCTGGATTTCTTTTGTTTTTTTATTATTTACTAGTAAGGTGTACGTGCTCCGCTCGTGAACCATATAATTTGTCTAATTGAATTTGAATTTGTCATTTAGTTAATTTGAAAAAATTATACACTATTTATGATATACATTTTAAGTTAAAGATAAGTGTGTACACACACACACATATATATACATATTATTTTTATGTGAAAATGGCTAGGATCATCATCCCTAAATATATTTACTGAATGCATTTGAGCTCAAGTGGTAGAAGCTCATGCTTCAAAATCTTATATGGCAAAAATTCATGCTTCGGAGTCAGACTTTAATATAAATTAATATTTTTTATACAAAAATAATTAGTCTTGGATTTCATTTAATATCCTTATTATTAATATTAAATCCATGCTTGATCTCTTCCTTATTTTCTTCTACAATTAGTTACAGTACGTTTCCTTTTCCTACATTATTTTATTGATACATCAATTATTATAAATGTTTCTTCTTATTATTCTTAAAATTTTTTACTCCCTCCTTTTTAAATTAGATGTCGTTTTGACTTTTTTTGTATGTTAAGATAGTTGTAGATAGTAGATAGTAGAAGAATAACATGTAAAATACCTTTTTGCCATTACAAAACATTAACAAATTATGATTGATAGAGGGTATTTTAGTGAACACATATTTTTACAAAAACATTCATCCTTTTAAGTAATTAATAAATAATAATAATTAATAATTAATAATTAATAATAATAACAAATATTAATAAAAATAAATTAATAATTAATAATTAATAATAATAATTAATAATTAGTAGAGATAGAGATAGAGATAGAGATTGTTATTATTATTTTGAAAAAAAATAAAATAAGAAAGAGTATGAAAAAAACATGCACATTGGATCTGATCATATGCTCTTATGGCCAAAAAGTTGTAACTTGCACAATATACCAATCATGTGCTGCATGTTTTGGATTAATGTTGAGCATGGGCAGTGGGTCCCACTTCTTCCATTGGCCTTCATGTGTGATGATTCCAATGCACAATTTCAGGGTTATTAAGGGTAAGGGATTATGTCAATTTAACAGTTTGTCAAATTGAAATTTGAATCAAAATTTTCACATATTTTGGTTGAAATAATTAATCATTTTTTGGACCACCTCCCATCATGTTGATGTCCTAATGGTTGTTGCTTTCTTTTCCTTCCATTGATGAATAATTAATTGGGTATTAAGGGAAACAAAAAGAAAAAATGGGATATCATAAGTATGAGTTGTCAATGGTTGATGATTAATTAAATCAGTGATTTAGATATGTTGCCATATCTCTTCAAATCCTTGGTGACCCTAAATCATAGATATGGCTTTTGGCATTTTCTGTCTCTTCCAATCCCAATGTGTGTATGATGGATTTAATAGCTCTGTATTTAAAAGCATATGTTGCTGCAGTGAAATACCATACTTTTAAGGCTTAATCTAAATTAACTATGTAAACCCATTTTGAATCATATTTTTATTTAAAAAGTATGACAATTGGATTGATTCAGCCAAATGTGTATGTTTTGAACTAGATTCTACAGAAGACGTTATGACATTTGAGCTAATTAAGCTCATTATTAGGTGAGATTGGACCACATATAATTAGTCACATGTTGTATCACAACTCACAAGTACTTGAGGTTGCCTTTTTGTTAAGAGTTGACAGCTTGTTTTAACCCCCAATTGTCGGCACAAATAAAATGAAATAAATAATCCTTAAAAATAAAGGCAATCTATTCAAAAGTTTAATTTAAGTGAGCAAGAAAACCTGATTTTTGCAGCTTCAATTTGGTTGTGTCATTTGTGAGTAATAGCATGCTGGCAAAGCACTGTTGTACCTTGTGTTTACCTTCTGGCACCCCGTGACAATCTATTTCTATTGCAATTTTCATTGTATTATTTGTTACATCCAAAATATTGAATTACTATCTATTTCTACTGCAATCAAAGTACTAATTAATTGAAATGTTCATTGTATTATTTGTTACATACACATATTGAATTACTCTGAGGTGTACAAGAATTAGTAATGTTGTGTTTGCTTTCATCAAAGTGTGACCAAATATAAGATTTGATACAATATATCTTGTTCAGTTCAATTATTGAGGGCTACTTCCTAGTTCCTATATGTTGCATTATTTGGTTAATCATCTTCTTTTTATCGAGACTTTCATAATAAAATATCAATTTAAAAAACATATGAAAAATATAACAACTGATGGTGGTTAATCATTTGTTCTTTTCTTTCTTTCTTTATTTTTCAAAGAGACTTTCCAAAGTAAATATGACTTGAAAAAAAAAGACACAAGTATGGAATAAGCATGCATTGATTCTTTTGCCCATTGATAGCGTTGAACAAAAACAGCGCCAATGAAGTTCGAGTCAATAACAAAACAATGCCTGGAGAAACCAATATTCCCACACNTCAAAAGCTCTCCTGGAGTTGGTCAAGAAGCTCAAATTTTCCATCATCACTCTCATCCCCACCCGCACTATTTGAACCCATCCCAGCAAACTTTTCACCATCCGACAATGGTATATATGACATGTAAGCTGCATCCTTCAGACACCCAACCTCACTCAAAATCTCCAACAATGACTCCTTACCTGCCACGTCATCACCTTCCTCCACAATCTTGAGAATTTTCGACACATTTACGGGCTTCGGCTTCCAGTTTCTCGACCCCTCATCAGCTAAGGCCGCAGCATTTTTCAGGCAAGAAAGGGCCTCGGGAATCCTCATATTTGCAATGTGGTCCTCCGAGAGTATCTCCCAACTCATCGAGTTGTGTTTCCCCCCATTCTCCACCATCTGCTCGAAAAAAGTCTTAGCCTTTTCTGAAAGCCCCTTTCTCACATAGGAGCTCAGAAGCAGATTCCCCAGCCGCGGGTCGTAAGCCGATTTTACCGAAAGCCACTCGCCGTACATCTTCTCGGCACCCTCAGTGTCATCCAAGCGGGTGAGGGCTAAAATTACATCATGATACGCCAAGTTAGGGATATTTACAAATGAGGCCTTGTAAATGCTCCACACTCGATAAACCTCCTCCTTCCTGCCTGCAGCAGCGTACAGGTTAATGAGATGGTGGTAAGGCAAACGGTTTTGGCCTGTAATCTCGTCCTCGAGTTTCTTCAGATATTCCTCAGCTTTCTCCAGGAGCCCCGATTTAATATACCTCATGGCCATTGTGCTGTAAGTTATCCAGTTGGGATTTACAGAGTTGTCGAGCTCCATCTGCTTAAAAGCTTGCTCCATTTTGTCGAGGGACCCACAGGCAGACAGCCATATATTGTAGGTATAGATATCTAGCGATATCCTTTTCTCAACCATTTCTGATACTAATGACTCGATTTTCTCGTGGTCTTTGAGGTTCCTGTAGATGATCATCATCAAGTTGAAAGGAAGAGTGTAGTCGGTGTAGTTTCGATTCCTCATTTTGTCAAATAAGGACTCAGCTTTTTCCCTCATTTTCGAGAGGGCGTATGCATTCAGGAGGGAGGCGTACACTCTCTTGTCCTTTAAGGCGTCCGGTAATTTTTTGAAGTATTGTTCGGCGCTCGAGACGCCCTGCACTTTTGCGATGAGGTCGAGGTGTATGGTGGTTTCCCTGGTGGTTACTCTGAACCTCTCAGACCTGTTATTCATCCATTCACATACCTGAAAAAAGCACGCACTTTATGGAGCTAGCATAGAAGAAGAAAAAGAAAATAATAAAATAAAGGAGACAGTACGAGACTAGAGTAGCTCAATAATCATATAAATATCTTATAAAACAAAATTGGATTTGAATACTGGATTTGCAATTTCAAGATATGGCCAAGGACAGCAAATCTACCCACCATTCACCCCGGGGTCAGGGGAAAAGGAAAGAAAAGAAAAACAAAATGGGGTGAAAAATTAAAAAATAAAAAAATTCTAATGTAGTTTTGCCTTTCGATTATGCCCATTGTTTTCAACCCATATGTTTCTGGCCCGACGATCTGATTTCTCTACCAAGTGATGGCCTAGCCAATAAATATAATAGGCTCAGAAAAGCTAGTAACCTACAGTGCCAAACTTGGAAGTAGAAGAATAACACACATAAGCAGCCTTCTATTTTATATCAACTTTCTACTGAGCTAATCATCAATTCATACCCTTGCTTGGCAAGGCTTTTCAGTAAGATGCTAAGTGCCAAATAAGATCTTGCAAAATCTACGCAACTTGCTTCATTATATACTACAACCTTTTTCACTGACTGACACTTGATGTAAAAACTAAAAACCAAAGCTGTATCCATCCAACTCAGAAATACCCAAAACAACAGTCTTGCTCTAAAGTACATCATCAATAGCAACAAAAGCTTTATCCAAACTTGGAGGTCAGATGGCTGGAAGCAGAAAGTCGTCAATTACTTTTGTCACATTTTCCTCTCAGAAAAAGAACATTAACGAGTTGCATCTACCTCTATACATAATTTAGCGCCTCGTGGTAGTTCACAAGAATTTGGTCATTAATCAAGATTCTCACAAGATACTACATAGTCAAATATATGCCATCCTACCTTACCCTAAGCACAATTCTCAGCATTTGTGCCAATGCAAACAGACTATTATCTAACAAGAAAAACAAAATCTACAGCATATTTTTCAGGAAAAAAAGAAAAAAAGCATGCATATCAACCAAATAAAAAACGTAAACTTTCTACATATATGTTGGAACACGAGTAACACAGACCAGAATCTTAAATATCTCCATATATGTAGGAACATGAGTTCCAAAGGTTAAGGAACACAGAATAGAATAAATCGAAAACAATTCTTTAATCCTCCAGAAAACCACAAATTACGAATCAGCACACACTTCTTCTCCTAAGAACTTGAACTTTGAGTGTTTTCCACTTCTTTTTCAAATCAAAATTACCTCAAGTGCAAGCTTGAACCGCCTAAACTTCCTGAGCTCCATCAAAATTTTTAAAATCTCCAATTTTGTGATCGTCTTGCCCTCATTTTCCACCTGAGTCAACACTGAAGCAGCCCCCAAATTCGACTTTTCCAGCTTAAAAATTTTCTTGCAAATATTGTTCCACTTCAGCGTGGGCTTCTTCTCATAGTCAACTGTCCCATAGCTGTGAACATTCGATTCTGATGAACACGTAATAAAAATCGGATTTTTCGGATGGATTCTGTAGCTGGTGGATAAGATGGACTGTTTCAGAAAAAAGGTCGAATTTTTAAGGAGCCCAGATGAAAATGAGGGCACATTTGGAGCGTATACAGTGCTATTCTGGTTAGGATAAATTGAAGGAGATTTTGGGAAGGCGGGTTGGAGAAGCATGGCGCTGTGTGAAATTTTCCGGTGTAGGGTTTAGGCAGCGAGTTAAAAGGAAAAAATCTGGACATAAAAGCACTCTTCTGTTGATTGTTGTTGTTCCGTTTAT